TCGAGGCGTTATTTCCCACATTCTGCGGTGGTTGTGTGAAATCTCAGAACCAGGCAGATGAGAGACGGATCCTACAGAGTAAGAGGAAGACTTCGATATGAGGATTGCGGACGAATAGGGCAGACTCAGATCAACCTTCCCAGCGCAAGAGTAGAGGGTGGGGTGGGAAAGCCAGTGTTGGGGTGTGAAGAGGTGTCGTGAAATTTGCTCAAAAGTGAATAGCAGAATCACATTTGAATTAGAAATGGAAGTACGAAAACTGTTTAGCAGATAATTGTTCATAGAATCGCCTTCATTTGTCTCTTTGACGAGTTGCGTAATGGTGCTAAGCATGGCAAGTCCGGCTGACGATGCCGGCGAAACATCGGCGAATGTACCTACTACTGTAACATACTACTACTACTGTAATGTAAAAGTGTAAGTCTAAAAACCGAAATGATTTAAAGGTTGTTTGACCATGCTTTCACAACTTGGTCAAATTGGCAGGAAGACCTAGAGGAGTCCATGGTATGCATGATCATTTCCAGAGTCGGACCGTCGACTTGGTACATTCGCCGATGTTTCGCCGGCATCGTCAGCCAGACTTGCCATGCTTAGCACCATTATGCAACTCGTCAAAAAGACAAATGAAGTCGATTCTATGAACAATTATCTGCTAAACGGTTTTCGTATTTCCATTTCTAATTTAAATGTGATTCTGCTATTCACTTTTGAGCAAATTTCACGACATCTCTTCACACCACAACACTGCCTTTCCCACCTTATCCTCCACTCTTGTGCTTGGAAGATTGATCTGAATCTCCCCTATTAGTCCAAAATCCTCTTCCCACAGGTCATATCGAAGTCTCCCTCTTACCCTGTAGGATCCATCTCTCGTCTCTTTGCCTCTGAGATTTCACACAACCACGGCAGAATGTGGGAAATAACGCCTCGAATAGCGCAGATACGATCGCAGTGTTCCAGCGAAATCCCTGAACTGGGGAGATAAGAAACGCTTCCTACGGGACAAAATGGAGACTGTGATATGACCTACCGGAAGATAATTGCCAATTAATCTGCAGAATCAGACCAACATTCCCGGCACAAGGTAGGGAGGGCTGGAGTGAGAAAGTCAGCATGGGGTGTGAAAAGATCCCATGAAATCTGCCCCAAAGGGTGCACTATAACACATTCAAATGAGGTAGTAATAAATTGTGATAGTGAACAGGTGATATGAGGATAGATGGCAGAAGGAGAGTTACACAATTGGCACACAATTGGCCAAAGGATCAACTTGACTTGTCTCTTTGATGGGTTACAACTTGGTTGTCTGTGAATGGCAAGATTCATTGACGATGCAGGCGAAACGTCTGGGAATGTACTAAGTTCTCGGACTGACTTTGGATATTATCTTGTCGACTGTGGACTCCGGAAAAGATGCGTTCCTCAAGGCCTTGCTGCCATTAAAACCAAGTTGCGAAAACCGGTGCAAACAACTTCACTTCCACGAAAGGAGACCGCCAACATACAAAATGCCACACCATGTAAGTAGAGTTTCCATTGTCATAGCAAATATACGTTTGCTTCATCGACAATCCCTGAAATTCACATCTGCCCCGTGACGTAAGGGCACTCGTGGCAGTGTGGCCGGGTGGGTAAAGTGTCAAGTTTGCATGCTGCACTGTCACAGTTCGAGACTGCAATCCACTCCAGCCGGAATGAGAAGAACTTTTGGAAAAACAAGGCAATGTGAAATTGAATGGACACGTCAGCTTTGCTCATATGATTGTGGGAAAATCCGACTACTAGACCTTCATCAACTTAAACGAAATTGGGTGAATACGTCTCATACTACTGATTTACTGGTAGTGACGAAAATAATACTTAATTCGAAAAATATGTGAAATTGAATGGAAACGTCAGCTCAACTCATATGATTGTGGGAAAATTCTTCTTCTATCAGTCCTTCATCAACTTAAACGAAATTGGGTGAATACGTCTCATACTACTGATTTACTAGTAGTCACGAAAATAATACTTGATTCGAAAAATATGTGAAATTGAGTGTAAACGTCAGCTTAACTCATATCATTGTGGGAAAATTGTTCTTCTATCAGTCCTTCATCACCTTAAACGAAATTGGGTGAATACGTCTCATACTACTGATTTACTGGTGGTCACGAAAACAATACTTAATGCGAAAAATAGTATTTTACAGTTGGAATAAGAAAGCTTGGTGGCAAAAAGTGATTTAAAGATTGATGGTTGCGTTCTCCCTAGAATGAGATGTCCAACTGTCAAGAAGCCAGCGAACTTTGCCTAGTCTTGCCTCGCAAAAGCCCATATCATTTGGACTGAACTGCAGTCGCCAACGTCACATTCAGTCATTCGTGATATTCTCAAAATCGACTTTCATCGACGTTATCCGATGTTGTCGATTGCAGTAGCATGCATAATTGACCATTCCAATATAGAAATGTGACTTGGTCGAGGCCTGGCCTGCCTTGAATGCCACGTCTGCGCTGTGGGTCACCGGCACGTTTGACCGTGAGACGGAGACCACAACCCTTCGCGAGCAGAGCTCGAATCCCGCTGGAGGTGCTGACTAAAAATTGCAGTCGGGCCTGGCGGAGACAAGCCAGAGATGGGCTTTTTGGAGGCGAGGCTGAGTGAACGCCAATGGCGTCGTGGGACCCATTTACGTGATTTCGAGAAAACTTAAACTATCAGTCCTTGAATCACTCTAACCGCCAAAAGTCTCGAGAGCTACTTTTATTCAAAATGGCGGTCAGCACGAACGGAACGCCTTCACGATGAGGTGAGGAAAAGACGCTCGTTCGATGTGAAGAGAGCAACAACTGTACCAACTGCCGAGTTACTATGCGACAAGCCTCCAGCTGCAAAGTTTGACGATCTCGCGTGGGTGAACATAGGGCCACTGTGCAAAGTGGCAAGGAAGGACGGCTGGTGGATTTTAATGCAATTTTAATGCAATTTTAATGCA